GCTACTCTTTAGCATCTACGCATGTTAATAAGTCTGAAAAAGTAAGCTACGCACAGAACTTTCAGAGACAGCAAAATAATCACTTCTCCAACACATATAATCCGAGTTGGAGGAACCATCCAAATTTTTCTTAGTCTAATAATCAGGTACAAGAACAAAGGAAGCAATCAGAATAAACCACCAGAGCTTCACCAGCAACAACAGCAAAGTAGAAAGCCATCATTGGAATATTTACTAGCTCAATAAATTATTAAAATCGAGACCAAATTTCAGAACCAACAAGCCTCGATCAAGAATTTGGAACAACATGTTGGACAAATTGCAGTCACACTATCAGGTAGAGCTCAAGGAACATTGCCTAACAATACTGAAACAAATCCTAAGGAGCAGGTCAAAGCAATCACTACACGTAGTGGCGTCTAGTTACCAAAAATACATGTAAAGTGGCCAACAACTATCATAGAAAAGGTACCTACCATGGGCGAGAAGCAAGTCGATGAATTAGACAAAGCCACAGAAAATCAAGTTGAGTCATCAGATAGTCCACAGGTGAAGGCAACTGCTTTTGTCAAAGCATATGTTCCTTCGATCCCATTTCCACAGAGATTGCAAAAACATAAGCTCAATAAGCAATTCCAGAAATTTTTGGATGTGTTCAAAAAGTTGCACATTAACATACCATTTGCTACAACTTTAGCTCAAATGCCCAACTATGCCAAGCTCATGAAAGATATTCTCTCAAATAAGATGAAACTAGAGGACAATGAAACTGTCGTGCTTACTGAAGAGTGTAGCGTAATTCTCCAACATAAGTTACCGTCGAAGTTAAAAGATCCAGGGAGTTTTACTATTCCTTGTAACATTGGTAATTCATATATAGATAAAGCATTGTGTGATTTAGGAGTTAGTATTAATTTAATGTGTTTTTCTCTTTTCAGGAAACTAGGTTTGGAGGAAGCAAAATCGACAACTGTTTAACTGCAGTTGGCTGACAGGTCGATCAAGCACCCTAGAGGTATTTGTGAAGATATTTTGGTGAAGGTCGACAAGTTTATCTTCCCAACAGACTTCATTATTTCAGATATGGAGGAAGATAGGGGCGTTCTCCTCATATTGGGTCGCCCATTTTTTGCTACGAGAAGGGCTCTGATAGATGTGCAAAGGGGTCTGCTGTTATTGAGGTTAAATGAAGAAAACTGGCAGTCAACGTGTTTAGATCTTTCAAATTTCAGAGTGAACCAGATTCTTGTATATAAGATCCGCTTTAGACGTGTTTAGTGCATTCTCAGGATTTACCATCAGAAAAGGAGGAAGCAGAAGAATGTGCACATTATTTGGCAGTCATACCACCATTCTTCTAGCAACGACGTTGGGAGCTCGGTGAAAGATCCACACCACCTTTACCATCTATACAGCAATCTCCAACCCTTGAACTCAAACAGCTGCCCACTCATCTTCGCTATGTATACTTGGGGGAAAAGAATTCACTTCCAATAATTATCTCGAACAATCTTACAGAATAAGTGGAAGATCAGTTGCTAAGGGTACTTCAAGAACACAAGACAACAATACGATGGACTATATCGGATATAAAAGGGATCAGCCCTTCGCTTTGCATGCACAAGATATTGATGAAAGATGATTACAAAGCTTTAGTTGAGCATAAATGCAGGTTAAATCCGACTATGCAAGAAGTGGTAAGGAAAGAGGTATTAAAGCTTCTAGATGCATGGATCATCTACCCCATATCAGACAGACATTGGGCGAGTCCAGTACAGGTAGTGCCAAAAAAAGGAAAAATCACGGTGGTTCCAAATGAAAACAATGAGTTTATCCCGACACGCACAGTTACAGGTTGGAAGTTTGTATTGACTATCGCAAACTCAACAACGCCACAAGGAATGATCATTTTTCCCATCCTTTCATTGATCAGATGTTAGAGAGACTTACTGAACATGCTTACTACTGCTTCTTGGATGGTTATTCGGGGTACAATCAAATTCCTATAGCGCCAGATGATCAAGAGAAAATGACCTTTACATGCCCTTATGACATTTTTGCTAATAGGAGGATGCTCTTCGGTCTTTGCAACGCTCCTGCCACATTTCAGAGGTTAGCTCTAAAAGGAGTTCTTAGCCCTTCTTTAATCTGTCTCTGAGTCTAATTAATGCCCAACCAGCTTCTTTCCCAAAACTCCATCATAATGTCCTGTGGGGATATCACGATGCAGGGCATAGCATAGATGAAAGCGCTGATCATTTCATAAGACATATATCTTTCGAATTCGTATCTTTGGCTAAGGAAGTTAGTATGATGTCTATTTTCTCAGACATGGTGAAAAATATCATTGAAGTGTTTATGGATGATTTCTCAGTATTTGGAAAATTATTTAAAGAGTGCATTAAACATTTGCGAAAAGTGTTGCTTTTATAACTCGAGCTATTAAGCCTGTAAGGGTATTTTAAAACCTGGTGCCCTAAAGTAATCTGACTTGGAAGTCATCGGTCTAAAGCTCGTTATAGGGGTCATTTAAAAAGCAATCAGAGATGAAATTATCCTAAAAAAAATTTCTCTTCGAAGCCTTTTTTACTCAAGTTATTAAGTCTGTAAGGGTATTTGAAAATCTGGTGCCCTAAAGTCATCTGATTTGGGAGTCATCGGCCTAAAACCTGCTACATGGGTCATCTAGAAAGCTTAAGAGATAGTGCAAAAAAAAAAAAAAAAATAAATGCCTTGTAAGTCCCAACACATGTTCGATGGAATTTGACTTTCAATGAAGGATAATTAACCTAATTGAATCTTGACAGTCGAAACAATCAAATAATTTGAGAATTATTGTTCATTGATATGTTGACTTGCAACAAGTGACATCAACCTGAATTGGAGAGAGTGAGGATAGTAATGAGAAACTCAATCTTAGATCACACACTGGGAAAAGAGTGAAAAAGAATAAGTTTGGGGGTGGGTGAATTTTACAAGAGATGAAATGATATATTTGACCATAGAGGGATATATTACACGTCGATTTGCTTTGGAAAAATGGATATTAGTTTGGTATTATCACTTTGAAGCAGTTTGTAGATTTAAAGCCGTGATTTCAAATCCTGAGGAAAAAAGCTAAACTGTCCAAATAAATATTTTTCATGCTTGTGTGTTTGTTGATATTTAAGTTAAGTTTTGTTCCAGGACGAACAAAGGTTTAAATTTGGGGGTATTTGATAAGTGCAATTTGTGCACTTAATTAAGTCATATTTCTAAACTTTTACGTCGTCAAATTATTAATTTTTATCTAACTAGGTTAATGTTCATTTTGTTTTTAGTGATGGACTCATTTGAAGCATTTGGAAAAGGATGAAGGATTAATTGACTATTTGATGCAAAGTTTGGAGATAAAATTTTATACTTTGAAAGTTGAGGACTTGGGGGATTAGTTTCATACCAAAAAAAAAAAAAAAAAAAAAAAAAAAAAAAAAAATCATTTTGTTTTTAGTGATGGACTCATTTGAAGCATTTGGAAAAGGATGAAGGATTAATTGACTATTTGATGCAAAGTTTGGAGATAAAATTTTATACTTTGAAAGTTGAGGACTTGGGGGATTAGTTTTATACCAAAAAAAAAAAAAAAAAAATGACAACAATTGGGCTGGAAATATATATACATACATCCCATTTATAAGCTAAAAAAAAAAAAAAAAAACAGGAGCTGAATTCATATATCTTCTGGGAGAAAAGTTGACTGCTGTGAGAGAGAGAAGAGGGTTGCCTTGTATTTAATTGATACATATATATACCCACAGAAACACGAGGACAAGGGCAGCAGCTTGAGGGAGATTTTGGAGACAAAAATTGGGCTACCTGCTTTGGAGGAAGAGAAGAGAAACCGACTGCTGGGTTTTATTATATATAGACAAAAAGGCAGCTAGAAATTGGAGGAAAAACCACAAATTACAAGAGGGGGCTGTTGTTAGTATATATATACACACATACAAAAAAGGTGGCAGATTGGGCACTTTTGTTGGAGTCAACTAAGGGGCTGATTTTATATATACAACAAACACAAGGTGAAATTTGGAAGGAAAGGAACAGAAAACGGAAACTTTAATTGGAAAATTAATCATCTTCCCTTGATTCTCTGTGATCTCCTTCCTCTTTTATATGTTTAATTTCAACATTATGCTAGGTTAAATCTTTTCATGTATTGGATAGATGACAAAATTGTTTAATTTTTAGTTCTAATTCGAGACTTTGAGTTTTTTTGTTAAATCTTGCATTTTGATTCCATTAATATGCCTAGTTACATTGTTTTAATGCTTGCACACCATTAGAACAATAAGCTGCTTATTCATAGTATTGAAAAACTCACGATTGGTAGAACACTATTATTGGGATACACGGACAATAAATATTAGGAATAATATTTACAGCGTGTGCGATCATATGTGATAATCATAAATGTCAATGCATGTTTGTCATATGAATTCAGACTAGAAATAGGATCGCCTTGTGGCAACCATATGTTTATTATATCTAGGAAAAGAATAATAAATAAAAGTAGAGTTATCGATCGTCGCAATTGCATGAATTAGGATAATTATTACTGGTTGAGAATTATCACTAAGAATTGATCAATGGCGTCGGAAATCCAATATGTTCGCACATTTAATTTTTAAATCAACTTTCATTGTTTTCACAACTTTTAGTTTATAAACATTAATTGTTTACACATTGGGCCAAGACTGACGAGCTAGGCCATGAACTGTCGATAGCCGCTTCAAGGAGGGCCACTAGTGACCATGAAATGCTTTACCTGTCCCAACAATGGCTGTTACTGCTTCTTTCTATCCATCATAAGCTGGAATATATTTTCCCTTTCCATGGCTTCTATCTTTCCAACAACTAGGTGAAAAATGGTGGTTTTTGTGTTCCAAATTCCAGTAAGTGGAGAAGTGAACGGCTTACTTTTTTGCTCCCCCATTGACATCATTTTTCGATAGCTAATTTTTTGTTGTTTTCGTTGATTTTTCGATAGAGAATTTTCTATTTCAGTTTTGTTTGCTATAACCATTTTCATGGTTTCTTCAACCCTCAATCGGTAATAGCCATTTTTCATGGCGGAAAACAGGTTGAAAAATTCCTCTTTCAAGGAAAATATCCAGATGCAAATCTTGGCCCATATTTTTCTATAGCACTTTCCTTTTCTCAGCTAGCTTCTCTCTTTTCTAGGGGAAACTCATATATGATTTTCTTTCAATATTTTTTCTTTTCCTTTTTTTTTATTTTTTATTTTTATTTTTTGTTGTAGCTAGCTTACTGCATGAAAAACTCACTTTTTCGATGGCTTTTGAATGTGGTGAGAACATGGTTAATGTACCGTTTCACATAGACCGCCAATTTGTTGACTCTAAAAAATGTTGTCAACAGAATCCCTGCCACGTCCCCTCCACATGGATGTCACCTGCTTTCGGAACACCCTATTAGGAGGCAAAGATCGTCGATCGAGAAAAAGATCCAGTGATCGTTTGCACTCCGACGATCAAGTCAAGGGCCGGACAAAATATATATAGAGTGAGGGGATTTGACTAGGGTATTGAAATGTATCTTAAATGAAATGAAGCCACATATATATTCAAATTGGAGATGGGCCTCATTGCTAATGGGCTAAGTCAAATAGAAAGGCCCAATATGAAATATTTTATATGTATAACATAACATACAAAATGATGGTTAGAATAACATTTGATAAGTTAATCAAGTCTGTTAGCAAGTGAGAGAGTGACTGGTCATTAACATTTTGGTAAGCTTAGTGACATTTTTGAAAACATTCAATGATCGATGACAACTGAGAACATTCAAGAAATTCCAGCAGTTATTTAAAAACATTGAGAGAATTCAAATAATCTACCATTTGACAACCTCCTATATAGCTATTTTTAGAAAAATAAAAAAAAATTAATGCAACCGCCCACTAAGTTAATATCAATTAAATTGTAGCAACGGAAGACATTAGATGAAATTAAAATTAAACATGAAGGAAGAAGAGAAGGTTAATAGGGAAGATATGAACTTTAAACTTGATGCCTTATTGATAATAAGTCCCGACTATTTATAATAGTCTTACAGTTGCTGGGAATAATAAACTATGCTAAGAATTAGGAGAAAACAACAACCCACTTAAGTTAATATCAAAACTTCCTGGGTTTAAACCCCCCGGGGCACATCCCAACTGGCAAATGACGAAATTCTACAAGGCGGGTAGTTCAAAGGTTGCGAGTTCGATTCATAGGGTTTTTGGAAGGCAATGCTTTCTCCTGAAAGGCAGGATATTTTCTGGAAGGCAGGAGTTCCTTGGAAGATAAGGTGCATACATGGGTTTGACTCACTCGGCACTTTGGCAGTTCAGTTGGGGGCCTCTTAGACCCTGGCTAGTTTGGGGCACAACCCGCAGTTTACCTGGTCTGCGTGAAGAAGGGCTGGGTCATGAACCCCAAAATTAGTCGCTATAAGGTGGACACTTGGGTATCAAAAAAAAGGTTTTATGGAATGAACAAATAAAACTGACAACTAACTAAAATAATACATCCACATTTCCACTTCTAGTTTCCACTCCCAGCTCCCTCTATGTCTCCACTTAAATCTATGCAATAACAAGATTGTTTGTACGGTGGCACGTATCATTCCTCCTCCATTTAGAATCCTTGTCCACAAGGAAAAAAATTGAGTTAGTAAAGCGCTGCTCTCCTAGGTTACATCTTCCATCATAAATAATTGTGGACGTTCACACCAATGGCAGGGAACAAACTTCTCATCGCAATAGTAACACAACCCTTTTTCTCGACGTTCTCGTGCCTCTTGATTGGTCTTTCGTCGAAATGTTGTTGGAGTAGTACTGGAACTTGCATTTCTGTTATGATTTGGTGGAGGGCCTAATACACCAACTGTTGTTGGGGTTCACTTTTGGCACCACTGAAACTGGTTGGGAACGAAAGGGTTGACTAGATTTCTTTTGTAATTGATTTTTTTCCTTGATTAGCCAAGCAACTCCTATTGCATCCGTCAAAGTGCGGGGTTGTTTTATTTTTACATCAAGTCGGATGTCATCCTGTAGTCCTACAATGAAACAACCAACGAGAAAACTTTCAGGCAGACCATTAACTCGAT